TTTTAGAACTAGCAAGGTGTGCGCTAGAACTAGTTGTACACAAGCTAGAACTAGGGTAATACAAGCTAGAACTAACGCAAAAGCAAGAATTAATAAGTGTACATGTAAAAAACCCTTGTTGGGTTTAGAACTAACAAGGTGTGGGTTAGAACTGGCTGTATACAAGCTAGAACTAGGGTAATAAAAGCTAGAACTAACGCAGAAGCAAGAATTAACAAGTATGCATGTAAAAAACCCTTGTTAGATTTAGAATTAGCAAGGTGTGGGCTAGAACTGGCTGTATATAAGCTAGAACTAGGGTAATAGAAGTTAGAACTAACGCAGAAGCAAGAATTAACAAGTGTGCATATAAAAAACCCTTGTTGGGTTTAGAACTAGCAAGGTGTGGGCTAGAACTGGTTGTATACAAGCTAGAACTAGGGTAATAAAAGCTAGAACTAACGCAGAAGAAAGAATTAACAAGTGTGCATATAAAAATCCTTGTTGGGTTTAGAACTAGTATGGTGTGGACTAGAACTGGCGGTATACAAGCTAGAACTAGGGTAATAGAAGCTAGAACTAACGCAGAAGTAAGAATTAACAAGTGTGCATATAAAAAACCCTTGTTGGGTTTAGAACTAGTAAGGTGTGGGCTAGAACTAGCTGTATACAAACTAGAACTAGGGTAATAGAAGCTAGAACTAACGCAGAAGCAAGAATTAACAAGTGTGCATATAAAAACCCTTGTTGGGTTTAGAACTAGCAATGTGTGGGCTAGAACTGGCTGTATACAAGTTAGAACTAGGATAATAAAAGCTAGAACTAACGCAGAAGCAAGAATTAACATTTGTGCATGTAAAAAACTCTTGTTGGGTTTAGAACTAGCAAGGTGTGGGCTAGAACTGGTTGTATACAAGCTAGAACTAGGGTAATACAAGCTAGAACTAACACAGAAGCAAGAATTAACAAGTGTGCATGTAAAAAACCCTTGTTGGGTTTAGAACTAGAAAGGTGTGAGCTATAACTGGCTGTATACAAACCAGAACTAGGGTAATAGAATCTAGAACTAACGCATAAGCAAGAATTAACAAGTGTGCATGTAAAAAACGCGAGCTGAGTTTAGAACTAGCAAGGTGTGGGCTAGAACAGGCTGTATACAAACTAGAACTAGGGTAATAGAAGCTAGAACTAACGCAGAAGTAAGAATTAACAAGTATTCATGTAAAAACCCTTGTTGGGTTTAGAACTAGCAAGGTGTGGGCTAGAACTGGCTGTATACAAGCCAGAACTAGGGTAATACAAGTTAGAACTAACGCAGAAACAAGAAATAACAAGTGTGCATGTAAAAAACCATTGTTGGGTTTAGAACTAGCAATGTGTGAGCTAGAACTGGCTGTATACAAGGTAGAACTTGAGTAATAAAAGCTAGAACTAACGCAGAAGCAAGAATTAACAACTCTGCATGTAAAAAACCTTTGTTAGGTTTAGAACTAGCAAGGTGTGGGCTTAAACTGGTTGTATACAAGCTAGAACTAGGGTAATATAAGCTAGAACTAACGCAGAAGAAAGAATTAACAAGTGTGCTTGTAAAAAACCCTTGTTGGGTTTAAAACTAGCAAGATGTGGGCTAGAACTGGATCTATACAAGCTAGAACTAGGTTAATAGAAGCTAGAACTAAAATAGAAGCAAGAATTAACAAGTGTGAAGGTAAAATACGAAAGCCGGGTTTAGAACTAGCAAGGTGTGGGCTAGAACTGATTGTATATAAGCTAGAACTAGGGTAATACAAACTAGAACTAACGCAGAAACAAGAATTAACAAGTGTGCATGTAAAAAACCTTTGTTGGGTTTAGAACTAGTAAGGTGTGGGCTATAACTGGTTGTATACAAGCTAGAACTAGGGTAATAGAAGCTAGAACTAACGCAAAAGCAAGAATTAATAAGTGTGCATGTAAAAAACTCTTGTTGAGTTTAGAACTAGCATGGTGTGGGCTAGAACTGGCTGTATACAAGTTAGAACTAGGGTAATCCAAGCTAGAACTAACGCAGAAGCAAGAATTATCAAGTGTGCATGTAAAAACCCTTGTTAGGTTTAGAACTAGCAAATTGTGGGCTAGAACTGGCTGTATTCAAACTAGAACTAGGGTAATAGAAGCAAGAATTAACAAGTGTGCTTGTAAAAACCCTTGTTGGGTTTAGAACTAGTAAGGTATGGACTAGAACTGGCTGTATACATGCTAGAATTAGGATAATAGAAGCTAGAACCAGGGTAATAGAAGCTAGAACTAACGCAGAAGTAAGAATTAACAAGTGTGCATGTAAAAAACCCTTGTCGGGTTTAGAACTAGCAAGGTGTAGGCTAGAACTGGCTGTATACAAGCTAGAATTTGGTTAATAGAAGCTAGAACTAACGCAGAAATAAGAATTAACAAGTGTGCATGTAAAAAACCCTTGTTGGGTTTAGAACTAACAAGGTGTGGGCTAGAACTGGCTGTATACAAGCTAGAACTAGGTTAATAGAAGCTAGAACTAACGCAGAAGCAAGAATTAACAAGTGTGCATGTAAAAACCCTTATTGGGTTTAGAACTAGCAATGTGTGGGCTAGAACTAGCTGTATACAAGCTAGAACTAGGGTAATAGAAGCTAGAACTAACACAGAAGCAAGAATTAACAAGTGTGCATGTAAAAAACCCTTGTTGGGATTAGAACTAGCAAGGTGTGGGTTAGAACTGGCTGTATACAAGCTAGAACTAGGGTAATAGAATCTAGAACTAACGCAGAATCAAGAATTAACAGGTGTGCATGTAAAAAAACCCTTTTTGTGTTTAGAACTAGCAAGGTGTGAGCTAGAACTGCAATACAAACAATGTTTTAAAATTCTTATAGCTAGGAGTTAAAAATCATAACATGGAGTCAGTATAGAGAGGATGTAAGTCTTTTATAGCAAACAAAGGACTACATGTAATAACAAAAGGAATATTCATGCAATGCCACTCAACAAAAGCATTAAACAACTAAGAAAGGAACATCCAAAAGTTTACAAAAAGTAAAAGAATACAAAACCACCGGGCACCAAGAAATTAATCAATTTCCAAAATATGATTACAGATAAATGTAAATAACTTGGATTCTGTCATCATCTGAAAATCCATAAATTTAATAATACTAAGTTCACAAGAGACGTTATTCTTTCTTCAAATTTTGCAAGAGAATGTGTATTAGCTACAATCATCTTTCTCATCAAACACCATGAGCATTCTTCATTACTGCCTGAAAAGTTTGGCCCAAGATTACGCCCGCAGCTATCTCCACATGCAGACTCCTTCTGCAGTATGAAGGCTTTGTTAACTATAAGTTCAAGTCAAGCCTTTGTGCAGATGCACATGAACTTGTCATCCATATACCAATTGTTGTTTTAGAGAGAGGAGAGAGAGAGAGAGAGAGAGAGAGAGAGAGAGAGAGATAGAGGAGAGAGAGAGAGGAGATGAGAGAGAAAGAGGAGATGATTGCTGGGTCTGAGAGATTGAAGAGAGAAGATAAGGATAATTTAGGGATTTTAGCTTAGCTGGCATGTAATAATTGATAAAAAAAGACTGCAGTACAAAGTGTCACACATTAAGGGGCTGATTCACATAGGAAAAAATATGAGGGGCCTCGTCACATGAAGTTTCTGCTTTTGGGGCCCAGACACATTTTTCTCCTTTTTTATGTATTATTGAAACTTTAAAGAGATAAAAAAAATTAAAAAACAAAAAAAACGGGCCGGTCGGGAGCCCGGGCCTGTCCAAATTGGCCTAGGTCTGGGTGAAATCGGACCCGCGGGCCGGTCCGAATGGACACCCCTACCCGTATTCATCTTCTTCTTTAATGAATTCTTTGTCTACCGCTGCGCACAAGTTTTCTAACTTTTTCAGCTGAGAACATGTGAGCTGGGGCAGTAATTCATCCGTGACTTGCTCCTAATTATAATACAAACAAGAAGACCTTGCAGCATAAGAAGACAAGAGAAGATAAAAATGTTTCTGACTTCTAATGTTCATTAGCCATAAATTTCGGGAGTAATTTCCTCCATAATGGTAGTTCCCAATTTATGCGGGTAGCGTCCTCTGGTATTTGAAATTGCATAGAAATTTAGATGAATCCACCTACAATCAAACGATGGAATAATTTGAGACATAAAAGATATTCTTAAGAATTCAGACTACTGGTAAACGATAAGCATGAACAGAATTTTTCCTTTTTATACCGATGCTTTCCCTTTTTTAATAATCTGGGCATGTACAGAAAGTTTATTGGACAAAATAAAGATGGATACAACATACACATGAAGGGAAAAGGGGAGGAGGCAGCAAACAAGGACAACATAATCTCATTGATCTGGTGTAATAATAAGTTCTGATGTCAAGAGTCTCAAAGTGATAGGAAGCATCAAAAAAATGAAGTGGTTTGAACAATAAGTCAGCAAGAATATGATCCGAAATACTAATATAGAGTGAAAGCAATGGAGAAAGATGTGATTATAGAACTTCACACTACTTCTACAAATTATGAAAATTAATTGTAGCCTCGCCCTGGGCAGACTAGCAATCTCCTCTCTCTCTCTCTCTCTCTCTCTCTCTCTCTCTCTCTCTCTGAGTATTTGTGATTAATTTTGATCTTGAAGGTTTGCTTCTTGCCGATTTTAGATATAAAATACATAACGAAACATTTTGATTGATAGTAGTATTTTTACCTTTTTATGAGTAGACGCTAGAGCGCATAAACTTTTGCGCAATTCAAATCCTACACAACTAACTTAACTGTCATAAATATTCCCTTTATCCCCTCTACTTTTTCTTTCATTTTTCTCCCGTAAGTTCTGGTTTCCCGCAGCTAATTCCGTGAACTTCATGACCAAAAAAGGCTAAAAACCGCTCCAACCTCCCCCTCCCCCTTCCCCTTCCCCTTCATGAATCTTATAAATACCCCACAAATCCATCCTACCATATTATCTCAAACGTTATCCTTCCCTCCCTTTCTCTAACCATTCTTTCTTTTAAATACTTCATTCACTAAACCTATCAAAGATGAGCTTCACAATGCTGTACTTTCTATTCATATTTGCGTCCTACAATTTCTCATCCTCTTCTGCCTCAACATTAAACTATGGGGACGCTCTCGAGAAATCCATCCTCTTCTTTGAGGGTCAACGTTCCGGAAAACTCCCTGTCGACCAACGACTTACATGGCGAGGGGATTCTGGCCTATCTGATGGATCTTCATACAACGTATATATATCTGCTCTAATACCATATAGCTCATAGTATACCATGCGATAAGATACAACAATTTAAATGATTGGTTAAATTTTTAGGTGGACTTGAGTGGTGGATATTACGATGCTGGCGACAATGTCAAGTTCGGCCTTCCCATGGCCTTCACAACGACAATGCTGGCCTGGAGTATTATTGAATTTGGTGAAGATATGAAGGGTCAGATCGACAATGCAAGAAATGCTCTTCGTTGGAGCACAGATTATCTCCTCAAGGCCGCTACAGCCACTCCCGGTGCTCTCTATGTTCAAGTAAGCTAGTAGCTAAACCCTCCTTTTCTATTTTATTACTACATATGCTCCTAGCTTTTAGCTTTTATGACGGTGTATATGTATTTGTCCATAGCAATTTCTATATGAGTTTAAAAACCAACAAGAAAACAAGATTGTCATAGTGCCCAATAGGGTGTGTTTTAATAAAACAAAACAGAATGTTTTTTTGTTAGCTTTAGACTTTTATCGGGGATCATGTGATGGTCAGAATTAAACATTTACCAAGTATATTCCTACGCGATTCTCTCAATAAGTTGAAAAGCTAACTAAAAAAGATGTGTTAAAGAAGTCCCCAAATAACACAGGATAGGATGCGTAACGAAAGAAAATTTTACATTCCACGAACATGTAGGCACAAAATTCCGAATAGGAATACATTTCTCATTTGTGAATATATAGGTTGCAGATCCAAACATGGATCATCGATGTTGGGAGAGGCCTGAAGACATGGACACTCCTCGGAATGTCTACAGATTGACAAGCCAGAGCCCAGGATCCGACGTGGCTGCAGAGACCGCAGCAGCATTGGCTGCATCTTCGATTGTGTTCACAGATTCTGATCCTGCTTATTCTGCCAAGTTGCTTCAAGCTGCAGTCAACGTAACTGATTCTTTCTCTACTATGATGGTACTGTCGTGCAATTTTGCTGTGGCTCTTGTTCTTATTTGGGTATTGCAGGTATTTGATTTTGCTGACAAGCACAGAGGCAGCTATAGTGACTCACTTGGTTCAGTCGTGTGCCCATTCTATTGCTCCTACTCTGGATACAATGTAAGATTTGTTACGTGGACTAATAATATCGCTTCCTATGTGAGTCTTCTGGCTAGAAAATTTAGAGTTTTCTCATGGAAACCATCTTTAATATATGGCCATTTTTATAAAAACAACCTTAATTTATACATAAATCATCTTTAAAGATGAAATTATGTTGCAACAATTTTATACAGACTCACTAATTTCATCCAAGGCAAAATCTGTCAAAATTTCATCACATGAAAAAAGAGTCAAAAAAATAATTCAATCCAAGAGGTCTATCTGTAACAATGAAAGTACATGTGTGGTAAGTACAAAAACAGCATCATTACAAGGGGTCCATGTGCAATCACCCGTAAAATAGAATATGTACAATAAGTAACTATATCTATATAGTACAGGGAATAATGCATCTCTGAATAACCATTTTGAAAAAAGGATTTTAGCTCCTATTTGTTTGTGGGAGCAGGAAGCTCCTACATGTCATATATCCAGTCGAACGGAAACACATTGGGTGCTGAAGACGACGACTACTCCTTCAGCTGGGATGATAAGCGAGCTGGCGCCAAAGTTCTTATTTCCAAGGTGTCATTCGAAAATTTGATTCTGATACTATAGCCTGCGTTTGAAGGAAGAACGTTTATTGAGGGTGGTAAACATCAATTTATATGCAGGGTTTTTTGCAGCAAAAGAATGAGGGGTTGCAGATGTATAAAGCGCATGCGGATAATTATATCTGCTCTCTGGTCCCTGGAACCAGTAGTTTCCAAGCACAATATACACCAGGTCAATCTCTTTCTAAATTAGGCTTATTTGAACGATAATGATCCAATTTTCTAAGCATATAGAATTGTTATCCCTTTAAATTGAAATTATTAAACCTTTCCTTTCAAAAATGAAAGTACTTAACTATCTTATTTTATGTGTAATACAACTTTTGTGTTTTACATGCCTCTTAACGGCAAATTCAAAATAACTTCAGATAACTGTATGTCTCTTCTACCCCTTCAAAACGCACAACTTAAAATTTTGATTTGAAATTCTTCGAATTTAGATCCTTTCAACTATAAAAGAGTTCGTTTCTTCGATGAAATTTGTTCACTAGTATTTCATTCTAACTACAATCACTATCATATCTCCATCAAATAGCCACTAGCAAGCAGATTCTCATTCTTGTTAACTAAAACAACTCAAATGATATTCTGATAATGATCAGGGGGCCTTCTCTACAAACAGAGCGAAAGCAACTTGCAATATGTGACCTCCACTTCTTTCCTCCTCCTCACTTATGCCAAATACCTCACCTCCTTCGGCGGATCCACCACCTGCGGAGCATCAACTGTGACAGCTGCAAATCTCGTGTCACTGGCCAGGAGACAAGTATCCATCCATTAACATATTCTTCAAAAACACATTTAATGAGAAACTATTTGATAATTATTATTGACGATATAGTTGGTACATCAACGACTATCAATCTTTAAAGGGTTAACTGTGAAAGATCTCCTGTACCCCTGAACTATCACAATTGCGAAAAGATTCCTTATATTGCTGCAGATAGACCCTTGTACTATCGCCAAATTGCGAATAGACCTAGGGTGAGTTTTATGTGACTCTTTTTCCCTCAGGAAGTCTAGTTGTTAAAAAGGCAAATTTCTCTTTCTTTGATGGTAAAAGAGGCAAAAGAATTTCACTTAGGGGATCTATTTGCAATAATAGAATTATACGAAGTATATCCAAAATTGACCGATAGTACATGGGGTCTATTCGCAATTAATCCATCCTTAAACTATGAGAGTTTGGGATCAAGGTATTGGTGTCTTCTCCTCCATTTGGTGCACCAACTATACAGTGTAAAAACCATTAGAAATTTTTACTTCGATTTCGGTAGTAAACTACTGCAACTTCGTAATTTCGACACTATATGCAGGTTGATTACATATTGGGCCAGAATCCAGCAAAGATTTCCTACATGGTAGGGTTTGGGGACCGATACCCACTACATATTCACCATAGAGGTTCATCGCTACCGTCGATTCACACCTATGCTGATCGCATTTCATGTAGCAGTGGCTTCTCATACTTGTATTCGAGCTCGCCAAACCCTAACGTGCTTGTGGGTGCAGTAGTTGGTGGACCGGATCACAATGATGGGTTTTCCGATGATAGAAACAACTATCAGCAGTCGGAGCCAGCAACTTACATCAACGCACCATTGGTTGGTGCTCTGGCTTTCTTTTCAGCAACGAAGTAGTGTCAGGAGAAACTGGAGGCTCAGCAGATATGAGACATTTTGGTTTTTCGGACACTGATTTTGTAGTAGATATGTTTGCTGAAGTAGAAAATGAATGTAGCGTGTACTGTAATTTAAGTTTGCAAGAGCAAAGAATAAGGTATGAGACGCCACTGTGGTTAATTTAATTGGCGTTTGACAACTAATTCTTAAAGCAAAACCAAAAAAATTTGGCTTAAAAGTAGCATTAGGTGGTTGATTGCAATAAAAAATCATTTTAATGATGGTTTACATATAACTTGACAATTGAAGGCAGTCTCTATAGAATGACCCTATTTTAAAGATGATTTCTTGGGGAAAAACCTTAAAAAAAATTGAAGGATAGGGAACAAAACTAAGTATAGGTCTCGCTTCCACTTTTGGAGCAATTGGATTCAAATAAATATCTCTTCCATAAAAAATAAGAGAACTTGTGAATAAATACACTAAATTTCAGTACATAGGATCGATTGAGTAGTTCATCTCTGTTATTTCAGAGCAGTGTTAGAGCAACATTCAGCCAAACTAGGAACTTTCAGATGCAATGCCAAATCAAATAGCTGCAATAGAAGAGCATCAGCAATATCCTAACTACCTCAACAATGATATAACAAACAATGAGAGCCAAAAGTCACGCCATCTTTCCAGCATTGCAACAGATGGAAAATTGCAGGATGCAGCAACCATTGCCAATTTCATATTTGCATTGGTTAAATATAAAGAATGTCAGAACTTGTAATAAATGGTTTAGATAGATACGCTTCATCTGGAAGATGAAAGATGTCATTATAATAGAAGAACATCGCCAAGGCGAATAATAATCATTAGAGTAAAACCTTCACTTTTGTTTTCAAACTAGTAAAGGTATAAGTCTAGAGTTCTGTCAGTACCTCATCCTGCACCGTGCTTGAACCACCGTCACAGTCACCTCTTCTAGAAGATGGCGGCCGTGGAGCCAGGGCACCAGACTGCTCTCTGCACAGCTGTACATTGGAAAAGAAAATTATATGAACCTTTCAAGAAAGGAAAGAATCAGTCTGCATAACGACCAAAATTCAAAGACTGAAGCTTACAGAACATAACCGATGGGCTCATCAGGTAGAATCATTAGCACCATTCTCTTCCCTTCTTGTGTCGGTCCTCCACAAAATATCACGGGCTGCAAATTTTCAGTAATTAAAAATGATATAAAGTGGCAGATTTATTCTAGTGAAAGGCAAGAGAAAACCTTACCAGATCCTTGACCAGTAAAGGTCTCCTCCATAACCATAAGAAGGGTATTGATGGTAATTTGGAAGTAAGAGTCCATATATACATACATATAATGATCACAGAACTATTGGGTAAACAGAAAAACTGTGTAACGTGTAAGTTTCATATTCCAATTAGATCGTTCAAAGCAACCCCTATTGAAGGATTATTGCAAGTTTCTTTCTTAAAGTGGAAACTAAAATTGAATTTTCACAGTAAAAATGATGCCAGGTTCTTTCGACCAGAACTATTAACAATATAATGTGATCTACAACTAATCAATCTATTGGGCGCAGAGTCATACCCTCACGCCGCGGAAGCGATATCACCTAAGAGATAGCCCTAGTTTTCGTTGTCACAAAAGCACAAGTCAATCTCTATATTCTTGTTTCTCAAAAGGAAACTAGAATAGATAGTGAAATTCTTATTTCTCAAAGGAAACAAGAATCGAAAGTGAGATATTTCATCAAAGTAAAATATACACTCTTCCTCTCATCAGTTCTAAGACTGAAATGTCGAGGGAACATACAAGCTATGCTAACTCATAGAAAAAGACGAGACAACAGATTTACGTGGTTCGGCAAACTTGCCTACGTCCACGGAAGGGGGTTTTCACTATGAGGAGAATACCAAACTATTACAAGCTCTCTCTTCCTCACTTCTTTTCTTTTCCTCTCAAGTTTCACACTCACTCAAGAATTTCCCACACCACCCCTTCCCCTTCTCTCTTCCTCTCTATTTATAGGCAAGAGTTAGGGATGGATGCCTTGCTGGAACCATCTCACCAAGGAGAGCACGGAAGTATGGGGGGCTGTGAGCATGGGAGCAATATAGGGGGGGCTGTGAGCATGGGGTACTTGTGTCCCCCCATGCTTGAGTCCACTCAAAACATGGGCCACAGGTCCACTCACAATTCTCCATCTCGTTCATCATTTGATAAACCTTAAATTTTGAACGAACACCAGAAGAAGCCCCACGAACATCACCAGAGATATCCAAGTTAAAAACCAGGCCAAACCAGCTACGCCACTATACCGCGGTTGCCTACGTATCCTCCACCGGGATCAAGTTAATCGTAGTTCTGCTATTGTTCTCCAACATAGTCTCCACCACACCTCCATCACCGTTCCGAAGGGCCATACCCTCTTGGGCAGATCAACACGGGCTGATATGAAGTAAGTCCAAGCAATGTTGGAACTTGCTACCTGTCACCACCTTAGTTAACATGTCTGCGGGATTCTCATTCGTGTGCACCTTTATGAGAGAAATATCACATTCCTCTATGATATCTCGCACAAAATGATATCTGACGTCGATATGCTTGGTACGAGCATGGTGAACTTGATTTTTCGCTAAGTGAATCGCACGTTGACTGTCGCACCACAAGTTCACGCTCTCTTGCTCAATCCCCAAATCATCTAGAAGACCCCACAGCCATAATGCTTCCTTCACTCTCTCCGCCATGGCCATGTACTCGGCCTCTGTAGTAGAAAGTATCATTGTAGCCTACAATATCGATCGCCAACTAACTGGATCACCATGTATCCTGAATACATTACCAGTAGTAGATCGTCGTCTATCTAGATCACCCGCATAATCTGAGTCCACAAACCCGTTGATTTGACATGTATCTCCACCAAAATATAGACCCGTATCTGTGGTACCTTTCAAGTACCTTAGGACCCATTTCACTGCTTTCCAGTACGTCTTTCCTGGATTCGCCATGAATCTGCTGACACACTAACCGCCTGTGAAATATCAGGGCGTGTACACACCATTACGTATATTAAACTGCCAACTGCACTAGCATAAGAGACATTATTCATGTGTGCTTTATTTTCCGCTTTAGTGGGAGATTGTTTACCAGAGAGCCTAAAATGTGGAGCCAATGGAGTCACCACCGGCTTAGCACTTTGCATTCCGAACCTCACGATTACCCACTCAATGTAGCCCTTCTGACTCAAGAACGATCGCCGATTCGTCCACTCCCTTTTAATCTTCATACCCAGTATTTTTTTAGCAGCGCTCATATCCTTCATTTGAAACTCTTTACCAAGTTGAGATTTCAGCCTATCTATCTCCACCTTGCTCTTAGAAGCAATAAGCATGTCATCCACATACAAAAGATGATAGATATAATCACCTCCACTAAGCTTCCGAATGTAAACACAGCAATCGTAATCGCTTCGAGAAAACTCATGCTTCAGCATGAAGGAGTCAAATCTCTTGTACCACTTCCGAGAAGATTGCTTCAATCCATATAGTGATTTCCTCAAGTGACATACTTGATGCTCCTTAGCCACTAGCCTCTCTTTGTGCAAACCCCTTAGCCACTAGCCTCGCTTTGTAATCCACACCCTCGCTTTGTAATCCACACCCTCTCTTTGTAATCCACCGGAAAAAATATCTCATTGTAATCCACACCCTCTCTTTGTGCAAACCCCTTAGCCACTAGCCTCGCTTTGTACCTCGTACCACCGAGCTCTGAAAGATCTTCCTTTTTTTATACAGCCACTTACAACCTATAGCTTTCTTTCCTACGGGCAATGGGACCACCTCCCATATTTGATTCTTCTGGAGAGATTTCATCTCCTCCTCTATCGCAGCCAACCAACTCTTGCTATCTCTATCCCGAATAGCTTCCTTGAAGGAGACTGGCTCATCTTCCTCTACCGAGAGTGCGTACTCAACTAAATTAACCTGCTCATAGTGCTTCAGGGGTTGATCAGCCCCCAGCTTTAGTACCTGCTGTTGACCCTATAGTTTTGATGATGATTTGTCAAATAATTTATCTCTAATATATTCTCTAGTTTTGTGTTTATATTTCTCTTTACATGTATTTCAACACACGACAATCAAGCGTTAAAGATTCAAGTTCATATGTGTGGATTTACCTAGGTATATGTTTAGTTTACTTACATATATTGTATGTTTATATCTAAGCTCAATATATGTACACTTAACATGATTTTTAACGTTTTTTACCAAATAAATGATTTTTCATCAAACGTCGTTACAATATCTTTTATCTCATGTTTATAGCTCTTTCATACTCTATTATATATATATAATGTATGCATGATATATATATACGTATTTATGAGTCATATCAAAATTTTCATATTCGTAAAATACAGGTTTTACGAACACTTTTCAAAAACAGTGTGTTTTTACAAACGAAAATTAATTTTCCAAAAATTCCTTTTCTAACATGTTCATTTTATCATTTAGAAACTTTTCCCAAAGTTTTATTATTTTTAGAATTGATTTGCTATTTTTAAAGAATTTTCAAAATCAGCCAAAACAGGTTTTTTAGCATGTATCAGATTACGGTCGACCGCCGCGGTCGACCGCCAGTGGTAATTTTTCTTAGCACTACTTTTGTGTGCTCGCGATCGACCGTGACGGTCGACCGTGAAAACATCCAGAGACTTTCGCGGTCGACCGCCGCGGTCGACTGCCAGCTTTAAATTTTCAAACTCTGTATTTTTGAGCTTCGTGGTCGACCGCCGAACTGTCAGATCACTCCAACGGCTAGTTTTTTTACAGCTATTCTTTGTGGACTTTTTGGTCAATCTAAGTGAGTTTTTACTAATGTATTGGGTTGTTATAAATACCCTAATGCATTCAACACTTGAAGAAATTCAAGAGAATTGATTACTTAAGTTTACAAAGTGTTTAAGAGCAGTTTAAGCTGATTTCATCAGTTTGTTTCAAAAGAAGTTTTTTTTCTACAATAAGAAGTGGCTTTCAAATCCTATTGGGATCATCATCTACTGTTCTTCTTGTTTGAGAAGTTTTCTAAACTCTTATATAGCTTGTTATTTCA